TGAACCGCTCCACGACGTCCGACGATCCATCGTACTCCAGGATGAGGCGGGCGTCAAACGGCCCGCCTCCATCCCGCATCACGGCCCTGCTCCCGCTGGCTGACGCTGGTGTCGCTGCGCCACCAGCCGTGACGGACGTCGTCACACCGCCCGCAGCCGTTGTCGGGGTCTCGGGCATTCTGGCCGAAATAGCTTGTATTCGATAATTAAAAAAAAAGAAATATCGGTCGGACTGCCTCACACGCAGCGGCGAACCGCCGCACACGACGCCGACAGGGAGAGACCCACCCCACGCGCCCGAGCAGCACCTCTTGTACTCCTTCCAAGGCTCATACCCGCAACACGACCTGCGTGCGACCGGCCGGCGCCGCCGTGACGCACGCCCCGAGCCGTGATTGTTCTCCTCACTCAGACATGAGTTATCGCCCCACTCGCCTTACGTGCTGACACACTGTCCCGGGGCATGGTCCACCGCTACACACAGCCCAGTAGCCCGGCAGTGTCATTGTGGGGCTTCGTACGTTTTCCGTTGTGCGGAGTTGATGTGGTCTTATTCATTATTTTGCTCCTTTTGTCTTTCATCCGTGTGCCAGTTTGTATTTCACGAGTGCGGGCACGAGGCACCCGTCACAGCATCGAGACGCCAACAGTGCCACACGCCTGCATGAAGGCCCGGTGGCTGGAGTCCAGCGTTGCCGCGGCCAGTGTGCGTGTCCCCGTGCCCGCAGCGTGGAGGCGCTGGTGACCCAGTCGGCGCCGGAGGTGAGCGAGATCCTGTCCACGTACTCCGGCGACCCCGGCCAGACCGCCAAGGACATCGCCACGTACTGCGTCGTGCTGAAGAGGTCAGTCGAACTCTCGGGGTCAAGGAAATGGTGCCCACGGAACCCGCACCCAATAGGAATTACAACATGCTAACATTCTCCGGCAAGTCCTTCTGGATCAGTCTGTTATTCCAATTCGTTTGATGGTGGCGCCCATCCTGCTGTGCACTTAAACGGGTCGTTCCAGGAATGCGCCTGCGCCATGCCCAACAAGCCCAAGGCGTTCAAGATAACTAAATCGTGACAGTGGTTTCATTGCATTTGCAAGCGCCAGGTTGGCCTTGAATGGTTCGCGAACAATTTGATCACATCCCAGATGGTATCCGCGAGGGATTGTGGGTCGCTTACACTTAATCTGCATTTAAATGAGTGCTTGTATATCTTTGCTTGCTGAATTGATTTCGCCAGCATATATAACCGCTCAAATCGGCCTGATTTCACTGATCGGTACTCCCAAAGTTAAATATTCAGTCGTCGTGAGGATTCGATCCTGGATGAGACGCGTGCTTGGCCGTGCGGGGCGGCTCGCAGCGGGCCTGATTGTCGAGTCCGCTGGGCGGTGCCGCAGCGAGCTGAGCCGTTCGCTGGAGGAGCGCCGCCAGTACAGCGACGACCGGCGCCGGCTGCGGGCCGATGCGCAGCAGAGTCGGGCCGACCGCCAGCGCCTCCAGCGGCGGGTCGAGCAACTAGAGGCGGAGCGGGCCAACGCCGACACGGAGCTGGCCAGCCTGGAGGAGGAGAACCGGCGGCTCGCCAAACAGGTGCGGCGCCGGCTGACACGGGCGCGGGCGGGCAGGCGCAGGGGGAGACGCGGGTGGCGCCGCCAGCCCCAGACTCGTGCGGCGGCGCCTGGCACTGACTGACAACTGCACAACATGGGTGACAGTGACCTGTCGCGGAGCGGACGAGAGTCCCTGTTACCACGGCTGTTGTACTGCTCTGCGGCCGGTAATGTCGTTCATACCTTGTTATAAGCAGTGAGCTTATCGGCACAGGAGTTTGCTTTGTTTCTACCACCACAGGAGTTCGCTTTGTTTCGACCACCACAGGAGTTTGCTTTGTTTCGACTTGTCCAGGTCAGCACATGTCACTTGAACAGTACAGCAGCCGCACCAGTATGCGCCCATTTCCTGTCTGAATCGTGACGTGCCTGATTTGATGGCGCTTCAGTTTTTTAACGCATTGTCGTCAGGTGAAGGCGCTGGAGGCGTCTGTCGTCTCCCCCAGCGGTGACCCGAAGAGTTCGGCGCTGACCCGTCTGCTGTCAGAGCGGCCGACCCCAGCCGACCTGAGGTCACGGCCGATGCTCACTGATCCCGATCCCGAGAGCGCGGAACTCACCACGCCAGAGGTAGGCCACGGCTGCTGGCCGCGGCTCTGATGGTGCCGGTGATCAGAGGTTTAAGGCGCGCTGATTGATGTGGTCATTTCGCGCGCGCCGGCTGTGGGTCCTCCACTGATGTGATGCTGTACTGGGACCTACGTGTTACGTCACCTATCGGGCGCAGGGCCAAATACAGAATAGGAGGCCTGCCGCTGGAGAGCGGGTGGACCCATATAGGCGCGAGGTTGTACCGTGCGTCTGCGGTAAGGCCTGCTTTGTTTTGCAAATCAAGCACCATGGGTAAACTTTTCGATTTGTTTTTGAGTGGTTTAAACTCGTCTCCCTTCTTCTGGGGACCAGCATAGCGCATGTGGGTGTTACGTGAAATATGTTGCTGAAATGCTAAGGTGGCCAAAATATCTCGGCAAGGCTTTGCGTTTTCTGTGGGACACATAATCACCGATTGGCCCGTGCTGCACACTTGATTTGCCTTCACGTGCTTCCCAGCTGGTGTCCCACCGACTGCGCGTGACATTTACGAAAAGGTAGAGGCCTGCTGTTTCCGCGGTAGCGTCTGACCACATATCACACAGGGCGTGGGCCTGGCTCGGGTTAAGCTGACGTCCGTCTGACCACACATCACACAGAGAGTGAGCCTGGCTCGGGCTTCCCTGGACATCCATCTGACCACACATCACACAGATAGTGGGCCTGGCTCGGGCTAATCCGACAGGCCGTCTGACCACACATCACACAGGGAGTGAGCCTGGCTCGAGCTTCCCTGGCCATCCATCCGACCACACATTACACATGGAGTGAGCCTGGCTCGGGCTTCCCTGGTCATCCATCGGACCACACATTACACATGGAGTGAGCCTGGCTCGGGCTTCCCTGGTCATCCATCGGACCACACATTACACAGAGAGTGGGCCTGGCTCGGGTGAAGCTGACCGGCCGTCTGACCACACATCACACAGAGAGTGGGCCTGGCTGGGGTGAACCTGACCGGCCGTCTAACCACACATTACACAGGGAGTGAGCCTGGCTGGGGTGAAGCTGACCGGCCGTCTGACCACACATCACACAGGGAGTGGGCCTGGCTGGGGTGAAGCTGACCGGCCGTCTGACCACACATCACACAGAGAGTGTGCCTGGCTCGGGTGAACCTGACCGGCCGTCTAACCACACATTACACAGGGAGTGAGCCTTGCTGGGGTGAAGCTGACCGGCCGTCTGACCACGCATCACACAGGGAGTGGGCCTGGCTGGGGTGAAGCTGACCGGCCGTCTGACCACACATCACACAGGGAGTGGGCCTGGCTCGGGCTCCCCTGGCCGTCCATCTGACCACATATCACACAGAGAGTGGGCCTGGCTTGGGCTCCCCTGGCCGTCCATCGGACCACATATCACACAGAGAGTGGGCCTGGCTTGGGCTGTCCTGGCCGTCCATCGGACCACATATCACACAGAGAGTGACCCTGGCTCGGGCTCCCCTGGCCGTCGGTCTGACCACATATCACACAGAGAGTGGGCCTGGCTCGGGTTAAGCTGACCGGCTCACTACCGCAGGTCGGCCAGCCACCGGAGTCGGGGGCCGCTGCCGCCGCCGAGCCGGACAGCGAGACGCCCCGGCTGGCGCTGCGCTCGGTGACGCTGAACGCGGCCGGCGCCGGGGGGCCGTCGCCGGAGCTCCGACTGAAGTCGGCCTCGGTGGTCGCCCAGCCGCGCCGCGGCTCTTCCCTGCTCGGACGGAACCCGTTCGCCGCGCGCGCGCCGTCCGCTACCGACTGCAGTCGCCTCAAGAACACCAACCTGCTGACGCAAAACCTGCACCGCGCCGACTTCGCAGCGCGCGCCGGCCGCGCGCCTCCGCCGTCGGTACCCCGCAAGCGGCCGGCCGACTGTGGCTGGGACGGCTTCGGGGGCTCGTCGAAACCGGACGTCTTCCCCCGGCCGCAGCCCAAGCTCAAGGTGAAGCTGAACGGAGGTCAGGTGATGAAAATCGACAACTTCTTCGCGCCGTGAGACGCGAGGCTGGGCGCCGTTTGCAGGAGTCCTACTGCCGCGTTGTGTTGGAATGCCGCCGCGTGCGTCATTGTTGATGTGGCCGGTGTGCCTCACGCCCATAAGTACCTGAGTCATCTATCTCCTCCGCGTCCACCTTTATACGTTTTTTGGGAGCATGAGCGTTGAACATCTTTTTGTATATGTCGCTTTTTGTTCATGGGGTGGATCATGCGTATCATCAATAAACGTTGGAGTGATGGTCAATGGTTTTAGAATGCCTAGCGCATCTTAGCTTTCCTTCCATCCGAGGTACTCGCACGCTGAATGAAATACATAGCCAATGCTTCATTGACAAAGACATACTGGCCTTCTTTGAAGCCAGCAGCTGCCCCCAGCGTACATGCATCGCAATGTCGCCAAAAGCCAAAAGCCCGCACCTCATGGAACGCCCTCGGCAGCACTGCAGTATGTGGCTGCGTGCTGCCCACAGCACGCCAGCTCAAGGTATCGGCACATCTGGTGCCGCCCGAGGCCCTGCAGCCCTGGACGCCTCGGCGCCGCTGTCCAGGCCGTGTATCGGCCCGATCTCGCCGCGCCGGCAGACGCGCGGCGCGTGCTGGCCGCCGCGTCAGGTGCCGCCCCCGCCGCGCGTCACGCGCAGCACCGTGACGCCGTGACGGCGGCACAGGTGCGCCGCCGACGCCGGAAGCGCGGTTCGCCCCGCCCCCGGCCGGTGACGACACGCCCGGCCACTGGGCGGCCAGCGGCGCGGTGACGTCACGAGCGTGTGACGTCAGCCACCGGCGTGTGTCGCGGCCACGGCCGGCAGTACGAGACTCGGGCCGGTGCGGAGCGGGCCGCGGCGAGACGGTGCGCGACTCCAGTGCGCGGCGGCGGCGTGTGCAGTGGTGACGGCGTGGTGCTGCGGCGACGCGTGGACCAGTTTCGGCCCGATCTCGGCGGCGATGGCGGCGCGGCGTGGCCTGGCGGTGCTAGCGGCCGGCGTTCTGCTGGGATGCGCGCAGGTGAGCGGGGACGCCGCGGCTGCAGCCGGCCTTGAGGCTGCCCCGGCGCAGCGCAAGCAGGCCGGCCGGTGCAGGGCCGAGTACGGCTTTGGTGTAGTCGGAAGGAAACTGTGCGTCGCCGCGCTCACGACGCACTCTATGAGTTTCTACGACGAAGCGCGAGATATGACACTGGCGGTTGATGTGCGTATACTCGCAATATTCATAACGTTGGACCGTTGGGTGCGATTTCACTTCAGGCTATTCAGTGATCTAGAATGACTCAACGCTCCCTTGTCCCTTGTCTATTACCGTTCATGTAGAGCCCAATGCACGCAAAGTACAATTAATGAGCCATGAGTCTCCTGTGACCCCAACCCGTACAAACACATATCCCTTTGCTGACTAGCCCTAAAAGAGAGGCGAAAGCAGCTTATTCATGACAAGGAGGGATTGGTCCACCACCGACCTAAAGCAGGTGCATGGCCAGCGGTTGGAGGCGAACATTGCATGACGGACGGTAATCCAGCGCCCAGGGCCGCAAAGCAGCCGCCATGCCCACGTCTAAGGTGTTCCAAATCTGATCAGCACAGTTCCGGGATCCTTAACCTGCAACGCATTCTCACAAGCAATTAAGGCGATCTAGATGCTGCTCCAGACGTCAGTCAGTGTGCAGTCAGTCGAGGACCCGCCCGGCCGCCCGCCCACAAAGGCGAATCAAAGCCGACTGGTTATGCCGGCTTCAGAAGCCGCGTCAAGGCCACAATCGGCCGCCGTCCGAACCGGCGGCCTTTAAGCTGACCCAATCGCACGATGCCAAACCAGACGGCAGACCTCGACGCCGTGTCGCACTGCCGGGGTTTAGACGCTGCGTTCGTCACCAGTGAGCGCCGTGACTCCCCACCCCTACGCCTCGGAGAGTTCGTCCGTGCCAGGAGAGCAGCAGCCTTGGCCTGATCAGCCGAGAACCAGCTTCAGCCCCGTCCGGCTGGGTCAGCGGGTCTCGCAGAGGGCTCTCTTGCTTCCTTGCTCACTGATTCTCTCGTTGCACGCCGGTCTGGGTCAGTGGACATCCGTCACCGGCAAGGACTCAATCGCTTCCCTATCCACCGATCCTCCCGTTACACACCGGCTTGGGTCAGCGGATCTCCGTCACCGGCGGGGGACTCAATCACATTCCTGGTACTGACCTCTCTGTCACACTAGCGCCGACCTGACCGCGTCGCTCACACAGGCCTCGTGATCAGACCATTCCGTGGCTGGGAGGAGGCCCCATCACTCGGCGGCGGGTGAGAGACAAACGTCGCCCGAGACTGCGACGGACAGTAGCAGGCTAACTCGGCGACTGCAGCGTCCGCACAAGCACATAGCACCGGAGGACCAAGCTGACGGGTGGTGGGCTGAGGACGGAGCTGACGGGTGGTGGGCTGAAGATGGAGCTGACGGGTGGTAGGCTGAGGATGGAGCTGACAAGTGGTGGGCTGAGGATGGAGCTGACGGGTGGTGGACTGAGGACGGAGCTCACGGGTGGTAGGCTGAGGACGAACCTGACAGGTGGCGGGTGAGGACGAAGCCGACCGGTGGCGGGTGGATGAGGACGGAGCTGACGGTTAGTAGGCTGAGGATGGAGCTGACGGGTGGTGGGTGGGTGAGGACGGAGATGACGGGCGGTGGGTGAGGACGGAGCTGACGGATGGTGGGTGAGGACGGATCTGACGGGCGGTGGGCCGGACAGGCCGTCCGTGCCGATTTTGCATGAAGGTGTCAAGACTGCCTTAGATATTCCAGTTCGTGGGGTACATGTAAAGAAGTGACTAAGTGCGTAGTTATGAGGCCATATGACTGAAATGCGCATGATGCATAGTTTTGTAATTTTCAGACCATCGGTCTGAAAGGATTTGCATTTATAAAAAGACAAGGAACTCAGTGAGATGTGATGAGTGTTTGAAAACTCATGACGTGTCTAGGTTCTACATAATAACAAATTCACCCTACGGTATTTCCTCCAACGGTCGCGGCCATTCGTCAGCTCGCATTCCGGAGGTGAATCAAATTACACACAGGAAATGACTCCCATTTCGGCATAATAATGAACTCCACCGAACTGCTCCAGAAGCAGGCTGGTCAGACGTGCGTTTCAAACCCCAATATAGCCTGCCAACGCGATCCGTCACTTGAGTTCGCGGAAAATTTCAGGACTTGTCACCACCCATTGCACACTTAGGCAGCGAAGCACTAGAACGACGTCGAGTAAACGGCCACGGCCGCGGCTCACAGCTCACCCCAAACACGGTGCCGCCGAGAAGGGGGGAGGAGGGCGGGGGGGGGGGACACGGAGCTCCGTGATCGGCTGCACCGATCGGACCACGCGGCCGAGATGCCCCGGCCGCCAGACTGGACCGTATATGGCGCGGCCGTGTCAGGCGGCCGCCGCGACCTTGAACCGGCGGTGTACACTCGATACCCGACGCCCGGTTTGAGGCCAACAGCAGTCCAGCCGGCTGCGGCCGGCTCGCCAAATCACGTGTGAAGAAAGCGTTCGAGACGGATCAGTCTCTGTTGGATGCGGCGGTGGAGTAACAGGACGGAGCTTGCGGGTTGTGTTGAAAGCGAAATTGATCGGTTTTTAGGAGAGCTCCATGAAATATTTTTGCCTACAAAATGCAATGCGTCTCAGGGACTTGCGAAGTGTGTCCACCTTGATCTGCACTGAATCAGCCGGCGGCGGCTGACAGATGAACCACGCAGCACTGACAGCGGAAGCGGATATTCCGCTGGTATCTTGCTTCCTGTCATTATCTCACATTAGCTATTGAGTCAGTCACAGAGTCAGCCGTCGACAGCATTCCAAAAGTTGACCTTCACTTACACATGCGCTTCCTGTAATCGATGCCAGTGTCCTCGCGCACGGATATATTTACCCACACGCGTGGCGAGTGTCCAGAGCGAGGGCAATCTATTGTTTATTGTTTAGATTCCAACGGCCGGACACGGCGCCGAACGCTCCTCCTAGGCCAGTAAATGTTCAGTGTGAGTGGTTCGTCATGGCTGGCTAACCTCATCGTTCACCGAATTGTGACGCACGAGCGCAGACAATGGCGCCCCACCGCGCAGTCACAGGTCACTGTCCAGATGGCTTTCCGGAGAAGCGTGCACGAGGGCCAGCTGGCGACTCACATGAACTGCTTTTCGTGCGCGCTGGTAAACAGGTTATTGATTTCGAAGTCGTAACCACACGCTGTTTTCGAAGTAGGGTTCAGAAGAATTGTAGAGATGAGGGGTCTGCCACGAACAAAGACCTGGGCCAATTTATATCAGTAAAAACGTTCATTGAATCTCAGTCTAGCTAACTGCGGCAGCAACGGAGCCGTTGTTGACGCTAGACAAACGCTCAACAAAGCATCGTTAGCGTCGGACTCGGGAGGCCCCAACGCTACTCTCCCCTCCACAGAGCCACCTCACAGCCCTAGCCACTGCCGCGTTTTACTGGGACCGCCGGCACCATCTGAAGCGGAACTAGGTCAGCCGCAGACGGCCGCAGTAACGGCATGAGGCCGGGGTCGCGCCCCGCCGCCATGTCACCGCTTCGGCGGCGGCGGCAGCGGTGTTCGGCGTTTCCGGCGGGCGGTTCCGGTGCCACCGGCGGCCGGGCGGTGCAGAGGTGGGGAGCGCGCCGCGCCGCGCCGCGCCGCCCCGCGCCGGTGGCCGCGTCACCGGCGCGGGGGCGGCCGGTGGTGGCGGCCGGTGTCGCCAGGGTCACGCGTGACCAGCGCAGCTGGCGTCACGCGTCACGCTCGGTCGCGCAGCCGGCATCACGGTCGGGCGTCGGCTCGGAGCGGCGGGTGGCACGCGCGGCCGTTCTTGGACCGTGGCCCTCGCTCGCGAGAGGTGCCCGTCGGACCGGGAGAATGTCTTCAGACGTGCTCCGTTCGGCCCCAGCTACGGACGCTCGGCTGGCGCTCGGCGTGGTGCGCGACCCGGGAACCTGACAGGAGCGTCACCTCCATAATCAAGCCGTATTGTCTGGCGTCCCCGCTCGGCTGGGCCTGAACGCCGCGGCGGCGCCGGCGTACGCGCCACAATCAGTCCTGTGACCTAACGGTCACCGCGGCGTGCACTTGGGCGCTGCCATTATCACCGCACACCGGGCACGGGAGTGCAGGTGCCATGGCCGCCAGCCGCCCTCGGCTGCGGCTCTGCACTCACACAGCGGGCCCGGCGCAGGCGCGCTGCGCGGTGCGGCACTCCCAGGCTCCGGTCGGCCGTGCACGTGCAGCGCCCGCCCTCAGGATACGGCTGACGTCACGGACGGAGACAGTGGCCGATGGGGAAGCGCTGGGCTGACCATGGTGCTGGGTGACCAGCGGGCTCCCTCGAGATGCCGCATCGAACCGGGTGTGGAATTTGTTGGGCTCAATGAGCCAAGTCCATTGGGCAAGGATTGTGAGCTGTGGCATTTCGCGATTTGTGAGGGCTGAGTTTTGGAAGTAAAAGTGTTTTGTGTCCAGAGGTCGCAAGCAAAGCCTGGTTTTCCTCAACAGGGTTGTCACGAGGAGGAACTGGCACCTTTGGGCACCGAGAGAAGCTCCCGTGGGCACACCATCATGACACCCTCCTTGCCTGCTGTCCGGGGCTCATGGCACTGCATTTTGACGTGCTGTAGCCGCCCGCCACCCCTGAGCCCTGCATTCGCTAAGGGGTACGGGCTCGTGTGCCCTCCCTCTTGAATGTACCTTTCGCCCAGTAAGCTGGGCTTTGGTCACGCGCATTAAATTTTCACACGCAGACCAATACTCGAGGTGGTACCAGACACAGTGGCGTATGTTTTCGACAGCTGCGTGTTGGAATGCGGCGTGCAACCGAACCGTCATCGGCCTGGCATGCGCGCCCAGTACGGGAGTATGACGAACGAATTTGATGCAAACTGTGCGACGGCCATGCTGAACTGGTGATATATCCATCCCACGAATGATTGCAACAAACGTTGTGCTAAATCAAATGCTTCAGCTACTGAGATAGAA